CCCCCCCCCCCCCCGAAAAAAAACAAACACAGGACCTGTACGAGATGTTCAGCTTCGGGGAGTTCGATGAGCTGGAGGCAGGGCAGGGGAACTTTTCGGTGTGGGAGCTGTGGCTGTTCATCCTGGTGGGGTGCATGGGGGGTCTGATCGGGGCCTGCTTCAACCGCATGAACCAGAGGCTTTCGACGTGGAGAAGGCGGGTGCCAAGAGAGTTTTTTCCCGTTCCTGAGCCTTTGACGCGTTCGACTGTTTGCGTACGCTTGTCCTTCACATACGCCATTGTAGGCACAGGGAGAGCGGACCATATTGCAGAACAATAACATTTCAGAACGCGCCACCACTTAAGAACCCAGGAGTTAAGAAATCGAGCCTAAAAAGTAAATGAATGAGTTCAAAAAGAAATTGGGCACCATTTGTGAGCTCGGTTAAGAACCCCTACACTGAAACCTATATAACGGCCATTCCTAGCATGACCCCATGAATACAGTGACAACCCCAGCCTCAGCCGACACTGGAGGTTCTCAAGTGCGGGCGCGTTCTGTACGGCATATTGACACCACCCACATCCATGGGCACAGGAAGGGCGGAACGTATTATGAAACAAGTCATGCAGAGTGCATTTTTCACGTTTCATCCACTTAGCGAGGGGAAGCGCAACTCGGCACCACAGCACCACCCGCAAGGTTAAGACAAACAGCGAGGTTTTCACAGGGCCTGATGTGCACCTCCCCCCTTCTTTTCTCGCGCAGGAAGCACGTATGCACGCCGTTCACGAGGCTGGTGGAGGTACTCGGGGTGACCTTCTTGATGACGGCCGTGTGCTTCGTCATGCCCATGCTGTGGGGCATCTGCACGCCCAAACCGGTAGACATGGAAGATTGGACGGAGCAGGCAAGGACAACGAAGCAAGGCAGCGTGACGACCCACAATTACACACACAAGCACGCACAAATAAATACTGATTGTGTTTAGATTCATCAATCGTGTATCAAGAGCTTTTTTTTTTGGAGGAAGTCTGGTTACTTTTTACGTGTGGAATGTTTTGTGTTTTTTTTTTTCACAGCACGTCCCGGTGTACCTACCAGAGAGGACTACTCGTGGATGAGGCACTGCTGGCGTGCGGCGACACCGAGCCCCCCCCCCCCCCCCCCCNGTGAATTGTGTACGTGGCCCGTGGCACATTCATTTTGTCGCTTACTGTGCAATTGATTTGTGGCCGGGACCTCTCGTTTCTCGATTTCGTGGCGAAATATTGTGTTGTGGCTGTGGGCAATCAATCTCAACTTGTGTATCCTAAATTTGTTCTTGTTTCGGCGGGCGGGGGGGGGGCACGCAGGAGAGAACTCTCGTCGATGAGCTGGTGGCCTACAACTGCGACCCCAACACGGAGTACAACGAGGTGGCCAGCCTCTTCCTTCGCGATGCCGACACAGCCATCCGACAGGTGCGCATCTACACACCTTATCTAGGGAGTTTTTCAAGCAGGAGGAGCCGTTCTGTGTGTGTGGCCACGGATTGGATCTTCTACTCTGCAAAGCTTGTGTTTGTGAGCGCTGTATTTATGCGATAAAAAAAAACAAAACAGTTACAGAGTTTCACCCAAACAGGGGGTCGGAGCACCTTGATTTTTTGTCCTAACCAATTGGTTTGAGTGGCACAATCGCTGCTGCTGTGAGATGGTAGGGGTGGGCGGCATGCGACCGCCATGCTGGCGTATCTTTCAAGTATTCCCCCGTGACACCGACCTCTTTGTTTTTGTTGACCAGCTCTTGGTCGGGTATCATTTTTTGTACCGTGTCATGCTTGTCGCGTTTAAAGCAAAATACGTTCCACGACCGTCTGAAGGTCTTCAACGCTCGTGGAGAAGGGACATTACGCGTTCTGTTGCAACATCAACGAAGGCAACCGTCGCTTTCTATTTTCGGTGCGAGCGGCATAACACACATTCGGATAAACGACAAGCTTTATAACCCAGCTACCGGACGTGCTCTCCCCCCCCCNTTACCATGCCATGATGGAAATTGCCGTATCACACGGAAAAACATACGGTTGTGAAAATAACGTGCGATGAATATGGAACATTCCATACCATACCACTCTAGCTGTTCCACTTCCGAGAATCCGGACGTCGCGAGATCTCTACCTTCTCTTCGGGGGCCCTGTTCGTCTTCTTCGTGCCCTACACCATCATGGCCTGTCTCACCTACGGCATCGCGGTCCCCAGCGGTCTGTTCGTGCCCTCACTTCTCTCCGGCGCGGCCTTCGGTAAGCTACGCATGAGCTGGAGCGCCTCGTGCGTTGTTGCGGTAGGGCTGCGCGACCGGCTTGGCTCAACCTTTCTCGTCTGTTTTTGTTGGCGGTTGGTGACCTTGTGACTTGTCCTTGGGGTGTTGCGGTGTGTATGACTGCGCGACCAACTACGGGGGGTTTTGCCGAGGTCGATCGAACATTCGGTAAGCTAGGATAACTTGCAGCTCGTCACCTGTGTGTTGCAGTATGGCTACGCGGCCAACTTGGCTCGACATGTTTGTTTGTCGAGGTCGATTGGACATTCGGTGAGCTTTTAATATAATAGTTGCAGCTCCCCGTGCGTGTGTGCGGTTTGTATGACTGCGTGACCAACTTGGCTTGGCGTTTGTTTTTTGTCGAGGTCGATTGGACATTCGATTGGCTTGGAGCACCCCTTGCGTGTGTTCGGCATGACTGCGTGACAAGAATTGGCTCGATGGTTGTTGTTGTCGCCTGTCGTCGGTGAGCGTGCAGCACGTCGTGTGTATGGGTGCTTTTTTCGATACGCCTGCGTGGCCAACTTTACTCGGTCACCCTCGACAACACCACGGTCAATACCTGTAATGACAACAACAAACACCATCTTCGACTGTGCTTATATCTCG